ATAGTAATGCCTCTCATGCAGAAGTCGATCAGGCATAAACAAGCTCTCGGATGCAGCCGCATGTATCCCACGGATCTGATGCAGCCGACTGAATCCCACTGCCCGCCCCTGTTGGCCTGCACACCGCAGCCGTCGGATCCGGTGCTCGCGTACACCACAGCTGCCGTGCGCTGTCGCAGCCGTTGGCCGCCGTCACCGCAGCACGCCCACACCCGCGCCTGCCGCCGCCGCTCGCACGCGCCGCGAGCGCGCCCCGGTCACGCCTCCAGCGCCAGACCCCACATCTCGACCAGCCGCCGCGCCTCCCTCTGACCGCTCAGATACGCGCCGTGCACACACCCCGTGTGGTGCCGGCTGGTCGCCTCCCCCGCAAAGCACAGCGCGCCGCCGCCCGCACCGTTCACCAAGAGCGGCGCCGCCAAAGCGTCGATGGTGTCCCCATCCGCCTCGGGCCCCGGGTAGGAGTAGCTCCCCCGGAAGTAGGGGCTGAGACACCACTCGCTCCTCAACACGCGCGCCGCGCGCGGCTCCGCGCCGGCCGGGCGCGGCACCGCCGGGAACGCGTCCAGCAGGGCGGTGACATCATCGATGACGTCATCGTCCATCATCTCCTCCAGCGCGAGCGCGGCGCGGCCGGTCACCCACAGCACCGCGCAGTACCCGCCGCGTCCCGGCCACTCGCGCGACCACAGCCGCTCCCAGAGCTCCCGCCGCGGCGCAAACGCGCCGCCGCCGCCCGCCTCCGCGGCCTCAACCGCAGCCGCCGGCCGCGCGCCGTCAGAGGCCAAAGCGAAGCCGTCCGGCGGCTTGCACCATTCGGGGCCGTCGCTGTAGCGCCACGAGTGCAGGCCGTAGAGCCAACCCGGCAGCCCCTCGCCGCCGCCCTTGCCGCTGCTGACATCTGCCGGCTCGACTTGCGGCCCCAAGAACACGGCGTCCGACGGCGGCAGGTCTGGGTACGACTCCCGCCAGGCCTCTGTCAACGGCAACAGATCCTGCTCCTTGTCGCTGTTTGCGACGCCGGAGGCGCCCCACAGCGACTCGCGGGTCGGCCAGAGCAGGCAGTAGCTCGTGAGCCGCGGCCCCGCGGCGGCGCCGCCGCCGTCCGCGTCGCCCCCAGCTCCGTCGGCCGCAGCCGCCGCCGCGCCATCGGGGCCGCCGGCCGCGGCGCCCGCCGCCCCGCCCGCGCCGCCGTCAGGGGTGGTCGTCGCGGCGAGCCCGCCGGGCGCCTGCGCCGCCTGCACGCGCCTGCGCGGCCCCACCAGGCCCTCCTCATCGTCCGCCGCCGCCGGCGCCGCCGCGGGCTTAGAGCTGTATGCCAAAGGCGGGGGCTGCGGCGTGCACGCCTCCCCCTCTGCCCCCTCGTTGGCCTCGCGCTCCACTCCGGCCGCCGCGGCGGCCGCGGCGCCGTTGGCGCAGGGGTTGCCGCCCGGCGGCAGGGCCTCCAACGGCGGGTCGAATTCAACAAACAGCTTATTCACATATCCAATGTGCAGCGCCCTGATCGCGCCCACCTTCTCCTCCGGTAGCTGCGGCTCAAACCGCACCACCTGGGCCGACGCGCGGCCGGCGCCGCCGGCCCCGGGCGGAAGCTGCTCGGAAGCTGCGGCCGCGGCCTTGAGGACACCCAGGCTGAAGGTGCATATGATGGCGTCCGCCTCAATCGACTCCCCATTCTGAAGCGTGACGCCCACCGGTCCCGCGGGGCCGGCGGCGGCCGCAGCCCCGTCGGGAGGCGGGTGCGCGGTCGCGCCGCCCCAGCTGACCGCGGCGACGGGGCTGCTGAGGCGAATGTCGAGGCCGGCCGCCAGGCGCTCAGCCAGGTGCTGCGGCCGGGTGTTAACGAGTGTGAGAGACAAATTGCAGGGGAATGGTTGGTGCAGAAATGATGTGAGAACAGCCAATCACGAGGTCAGAGCTACCTCAACCCTGAGTTGCAATCGATCAGTTGGCCAGGTCTAAGGCATATTCAGAACCTTGGGCTATTTCAGCCCGGCGGTTTGACGCATTGATGGGCGCAGCGTGGGGAGGCGGCGTTGGGGCGGCCGCATGAGAGTGGGAAGCTGCCGGGCAGCTGCACACCTGGTAGCCGCCTGGGACCGGGATGTTTGGCCCCTCGAGCTCGTGGTACTCTCGCGCAAATGCTGCGCCTGAGGCGGCGGCAGCATATTGGATTGTTGAAAGTTTGAGAAGGGGGTGGGGCAGGAGGCGCAGGGAGACCGCAGGTACAACATCATGTACGATCCAGACGATGTTGTGCAAGGGGCCTGGCAGATTGCCTCCTGCTGGTACAACGATCCAAACTATACCAAGGGGATCGGCAACCCCGGGCCCAACGCTGGCGCGCCGCAGCCTGGCGGCGCCCAGCCGGCTCGCAGCAGGCTCTGAGGCCGGCAAGGAACATAATGCAGGGGGCGTGAGGCCGCGCAAGCAGGCAGAGCGGCGCGGCGTGCCCTCACCTGCAGAGTCGCAGGAGTGGAAGCCGTCGTACGCGCGCTGCAGCCGCTCCCTGCACGCCCAGCCCTCCGCGAACGCGGCACGCGCGCCGTTGGCCGCGTCTTGGCGCGCAAGGGCCTGGCGGGGTGGCGAGCAGCGGGCGCGGGCGCAGATAGAGGTTGAGCAGGGAAGGAGGGGTGGAGCGGCGCCTGTCCAGGCAAGCAGGTCTTCCAAGCGGCGCGGCATGCACTCCTTGTTGACCCCAGAACCCATCACGCAGGGCGAAGCCTGCCCACGCCTCGCACCTCGTCGAACCGCGGCCGCAGCACATCGCCAAACGTGTTCGCGGCCGCTTTCTCCGCCGCCGCGGCGCCGTCGCCCCCCGCCCCCGACGATGCCTCCTCCTCGTCCTCCCCGATTTCCTCCACAGCGTCCCCGTATTCGCCCATCGCCGCCACCGCCGCCGCGCGCGCGGCGCCGCCGAGCGGCGCGGCCGCGCCCGGGCGCACCAGCTCGACGCCCCAGCGGTCCTGCGGCACCTGCTGCTGCTGCTGCTGCTGCTGCTGCTGCTGCTGCTGCTGCTGCTGCTGCTGCTGCTGCTGCTGCTGCTGCTGCTGGACTGGCGAGTCCCCGCAGCCCGCGGACGGGGCAGCCCCTGGTACGGCCACGCCCAGGTGGGCTGCCCTGGCAGGGTCATACACTACGCCTTGGCGGACTGCAAAGTCATAGATGGGGTTTCCTTGGGTGCCATGGAACCAAGTGGCCCCGAGCTCCACCGGCCCGCTCATGGGCAGCTGCAGGGGCAGGTGAGGGAGGGGGGCCGCGGGCGAGGGTGGCTGGCCTGCAGGTGTCGACGGGCACTGCACAGCGATTGCCAGCACACGGCCCAACAAATCACGAGTACACGATTCGTCATGCGGGCATGCGCCCGTGTTTGTGCAGCTACTAGTTGCTCCGCGCCGCAGGCTTTGCGGGCGCCGCGTCTGACAGGAAGAGAGTTGCTGGGCGTGCCAGGCCGTGCGCACGCACCACGGCGGTGCGAGAGCGGCCCCCGACCGCGTCTGTCGCCTCCAGCACCGTCACCGACACTGACCCGGGCGGCGCCTCATCCAGCAGCGTCCTGGCCGCTGCGAGGCCGGCCCAGCCGGCGCCCAGCACCAGGATGCGCTTTGGCGCCTGCAGGAGGGCGGTAGGGGGCGCGCTGCTCGTGCTGCGCGTGCTGCGGGTCCCGTGTGGCCGCGATCGCCCGAGGCGTTATGCGTTGAGGGTCAAACTAGACGCCGGGCAGGGCTTAGGTGTCAAGCGTAGGGTTGGAGCTCACCATTACTGTTGGGGCGCTGCGAATGGCTCGGGATGCGTGCATGTAGGTGCGCCAGGGGTGCCTGGTTCCAGCGGACGCGGCGCCGGCTGCGCTTGTGCACCCGCTCCGGGATCCACCTGGCGGTGGCGTGGGTGTGCTGATACAAATTATATCGCCTTGATAGATTGCAGTAAATAACCGGGTCAACACCACGTGTAAGTCGCTCATTCCGTGGAGTATGGGTCACCAGCGCTGATCTCAAGTGAGATTGGGTGCGTTTGCCACCGATAGGCTGCGCCGATCACTTGAAACAATGAATTGCATTCTGACTCGCTCAGTTGAAGGTTTGAAGCTTGTGCCAGGGGAAGGCTATTGTTGCTCGAGTTGTAGCGGGCGTTGAGGCCGATATGGCGGTAGTGGAGTGAGCCTGACTGGCATTCAAGTCGATCCAGGTGAGGCTGAGGGGTCATGGGCGCTCCAATTTCGAACACAGATCGCTGATCACTCAGCGCGCAGTATCGCTGAACCTTTGCGGGGATGCCAGCCATGTTTCGAGGCTTTGTGTTAATGCTGATTGTTTCGTGCCTTGCAAGGGTGGTGCTGCGTCTGGCAACAACGGAGCACACGCAGCATCAGCAGGCCCCCCATCGACCCTGCTTTGCTGCCACAGGCCTGTCGTAAGGCCTAGCAGGGGCCTTTCACTTCTGCCGAACGTGTGCCTGACAGCGCACGGCGCGCCTTGCAAGCGTTGGCCACCGCGCAAGACCCCGCCCCACTATTGACGCGCCCGTGCCCGCCGCCGCGGAGGAGCAGCCATGTTCTACTCTACCCAGATCCTCGCCAAGAAGGGCCCCCTCGGCCTGGTATGGATCGCGGCTCACCTCGACGGCCGCCTGAAGCGGCAGCAGATCAACGGCGCGAGCATCGGCGAGAGCGTCGACACGCTGCTGCACCCCGAGGCGCCGCTCGCGCTGCGGCTCAGCGGGCAGCTGCTGCTGGGAGTCGTCAGGATATACCAGCGCAAGGTGCGCGGCTGCGCGCTGTTGCGCGGCGCGGCGATTGCGCAGCGCGGCGCGGCGCGCTTGAGGGATGGGCGGCGGGGGCGCAAGAGCGCCTGCAAGTCAAAGAACATCCTCATCCTGCACCAAGGGGTTGCGGCGGCAAGGGTCGGGGGCCGCCGAGCCGCCGGCTTCTGGCGTGGGGCACCCCCCCCCCCCCCCCC